CATCAACTTATCCCCTCATTCTCACCATCACCACTTTCCCTCACACTATCACCATCATCACCATCACAACCCATCTCTTCCTCTACCGTTCACAATTTACTCTAAATCTCTTTTTTTTTTCATTAAAGACCAAAGCAAATCTCCCAAGCAGACACGAGCACCCAGCATGGCGGACCAAGAGCTACAAGTGAGCTTCGATAATGCAGCTTTTGTTCAAGACGACGACCCGGTACAGTGTGAGGAAGCTCTCTGTGGTTTTGTTCTGGGAGTCTGCTGCTCCCTTGCCGTGAAGGGGGCCATTGCCATCGTCCTGTTTTGTTTTGGGTGCATTTACAGTACATAGATGCATTCGCACACACACACATGTATATGTATATATGTATATATATGTATATATACATATACATATAAATATCTATCTATACATATACATACATATATGCATGTATGTATATATATGTATGTATATGTATATATGTATATATATACATACACACATATACATACATACATATATATACATACATACACATATATACATATATATATATATATATATATATATATATATATATATATATATATATATATATATATATATATATATATATATATATATATATATATATACGGATATACATATATAAGTAGTAGAATAAATACATTCTAAATACTGCAAGGAAATAAAAGTAGTGAATATGATCATAAATATAGTTATGACGCGACTTTATGAAGGATTTTAGAAAACGTAAAAAGTAATATCTCTTCATCATTAATATAAAGAAAACGAATAACTCGTATAAACTAAAAGATTTAAAAGATAATAGTAACAGTCGAGATAATTTATTAGAATCGAATACTAACATCAAATTCTCACTTTCCGCACAGCTGGGTTATTTTTCCTATTTTCTCTTATTCCCTTTCGTCAAAATACGTAACTATTCTTAAATGACACACAAAAACAGCGTGCTTACCTACAGTATCAATATTCATGATGAAATTACTATAGAACCCTGCTATAAAAAGAATAAGGAATATTAACACACTTTGCCTCAGATATCACTTTCATTAAATATGGTATCATAATCATTCAACAGATAAAGTGACTTTATGTGACAGATAAAGTGAAAAGTGACTCTTTTGACGATTTATCTGTTGAGAGCATATTTCTCGTTGCAACAAGGGCCGCAGTTTAGAAGAGGGAGATCACATTTCATCGACCCCATCCCAGGTGCTGCTGTGCATCGGGAGAAGTAAATCCGCATGCGGCGGCGGCGGCGGCGGTTAAGGAGGAGGGGGAGGGGAGACGCATTCGAGTTATTAAACTACCTGATATTTCTCAAACTTCCTTATCTAAAAACGTAAATGTATTACAATGACACAAATTAACTTCATTTGCCTACATCTTATATATATACATATATATATATATATATATATATATATATATATATATATATATATATATATATATATATATATATATATATGTATGTATACATATCTATATATTTTTCTTTCTTTCTTTCTTTCTTTCTTTTTTTTAGTTCTATCCCTTTGATATTTATAAAAAAAAAATCACAAAACCATGCGCTAATATTTTTCATCCTTCCTTGTGTAAAAACAAGTAAATGTTTTAAGATATTTCTTATAAAATTTCTGCACACATCCCTTTGCCATAAAGGAAATGACAAAGAGATTACTTTCGCTAAAACTTTTATTGCAATACTCAAAAGATAAACCGGATATGTTAGCACTTCCTACGTCGACTTGTCTGCCAAGAGTGTGATTTTTGTCAAGATTTTAAAAGGGAAATTGCAGTTTGATTCGAAAGGGGATATAGATACCTTGTATAACAGACAAAAAGGTCCTTGCAAAATACCACTCGAAGTCGTTAATGGATTAAAAGAATTAGTGATTTGGTGAAAAATTATATCTCAGTCAACGGATGTTCAAGGTTTAGACAGGTTATTTTCTTTATATGTCAGAAATATGCATAACGTTTATCAGAAAATAAGTTTTATTCAATGTCAGTGTAAAATTATTTGCCTCAATTTGTGAATTTAAGGAAATGCACGTTTCTATTACTTAATAAGTGTTACCAGAATATGCGTTTTCCGGTAAAGAACATTAGCATCGTCCGGCGGCGAGGCGACCATTTCCGGAAGATAACAACTTATCAAGCCCCATCTCTTGCCGCATATTTGTAAGCAGTTAATTATCGCGCGCAGGTGAGAGATACTCAGGTCGAACGTCAACACATACAAACGTTTGAGGAAGTGGTTAGCGCATCTACCCATACGCAGAGAGTTTATTTTTATTTTATTTTTGTTATCGCCTGTTAGGACATGTGTTTGTGTTAGGTTGAAATCCATAATACAGGTATGTTGAGTACTACAAGAGTTTCATGATCTTTTTCAATGAATTGTGAATTATGAAGATGCAACGTAAGAATTGTTAAAGGAAGCTTATTAATTGCCCACGAAGGTCAGTAATTTCC